TCACAGATATGTACACCCCAAGAGATATTAATGCAAGGAGTTTGAAACTGCCTATGTCTGGAGTATGAGCAAGATTATAAGTTTGTCATCCATTCTTTCCTTCTTGAAAGACTCTCGGAAATTTTAAAGTTTAAAATATTACAGATTTTATGAAACAACAAACAGAGAGAGAAAGGGAGAAAGAACAGGCATTTAATGTCTTAAGGGACGAAGATATGTAGATTGAAGGAGGCAAATGACTGAGAGATAAGTGTTGGGCAGCTTATAGTTAACAGCTTTTATCCAAGACGGAATTACTGCCATTCTGGCCGTGAGTGTACAGAAAAGGGTAAATAATCATGTTCAATATTTAATTCTTGTGTGCAGAATGCAGATAGTATTCCATTGCCATTCTGGCCGTGAGTGTTCATGATGAAGCTAACTTTTTTTGTACATCTGAAAATCATTAACGCAACTTCATCCTAGGATATCTACCCAAATTCTTACCTGCTCTGACTGCTTGAGTTAAGCTTGGGGGCATGATTGAGCTAACTTTTTAGGTCTTCATGCCCTTTCCAATTTAGTTTTTTAGTTTACTGTTTTCTTAGTTTTAATATGACTGTCTTTGAGCATCTTTAATATAAGATAGAGTTCCCAAAATTACTACTTTTCTGATGACTCATGAGTTAGTACCTTGCAGTTGTTAAATTATAGTTCATTGATCCCTTGAATACCACTTGCAATAGAACAAAATATACGTCATTAACCTTTTCTTCTTCTAGTAGGGGTTTTCAACTGGTTTACCTGAGAGACTACAGTTACCTTTGTTGAGAACTTTACCTGGACTTGAAAACTGTTCAATGCTGAGGCCTGCGTATGCTGTTGAGTATGATTTTTTGCCTGCTCATCAATGTGCTAGATCTCTGATGACAAAGAAAATAGAAGGATTGTTCTTCTCAGGTCAAATAAATGGAACCACAGGCTATGAAGAAGCTGCAGCACAGGTATTATGCCTTTGTGCTTCTAAATTCCATTTAATTTTGGTTGCGTGTATTCTTAGTTATATCTTGAGAAAAAGCAGTTTAGTACCTTGGTTTATTTTGTCATCCTGCTTATCTGACAAGATTTCTTAAAATTTACAATAACGATTTTTTTCTTTGCAGGGCATAATTTCTGGCATCAATGCTGCTAGACATGCGGATGGTAAGTCACTTGTTATTCTTGAAAGGGAGAGCAGTTATATAGGAACATTAATTGATGATCTAGTCACTAAGGACCTGCGGGAACCTTACCGTATGTTGACAAGGTATGCTAACTGAAGTTGTAATTTTCATGCTCAGTGATGCTTTCTTCATTTGTTAACAAATGTATATTTCTACATGCGCCTTCTCCAGCCGGTCAGAGCATAGATTACTCTTGAGATCTGATAATGCTGATAGTCGTCTTACTCCATTGGGTCATGAAGTTGGGTTGATAGATGAGAGACACTGGAAATTGTATCAGGAGAAGCAGGCTCGGATTTCTAAGGAAAAGAAGCGATTGAAAAGTGTTAGGATTTCAGGTTCTTATTATTTATTTTTCTTGGATATTACCTTATTCTTTGAAGCTGTATTGGTGGAAGAAGCTAATCCTCAAAGGGATGCTTGGGGGACGGGAGGGAGAGGAAAGGGATAAAGAAAACACAACAGATCAATTAGTCCTGTTTGAACAAATTTGTCTTTTTGTCAAAAGGTTAATTATAATGCTTTAGTTTCTTAACAAAAACTTTAAAAAAATGACGGATATTTATAATAATAAATGAATTGTTCCCCCTGAAATTGGCAGAAACATGAGGGTTGGTGGGCTTCACAGAATTTTAAAGGCTCAGTGAAATTCCACATTTCTCTCCGCTCTTTAATAAAAAAGAAAAATTATAACAGAGAAAACCTTTCACATTTCAATGAAAGCTTTCTTCCCTTCACTATTTTCCAATCCAAACATACCCTTAAGGAAAACAATTTACTGTTATTTTTTCTTAGTAACAAATATTTCTATATTAATGCATGTTGATCTTAGTGCAGTTTTGAGCTTGGTTTTTTGTTGTCAATTTCGAAGGTTTCCAAACTCTGAAAATGAATGGCCTATGAGCCGCTTACCATTAACTTGAGCTATTGCTATAATCTAATCTGCAATGAACAAACAGATGTGCCTTTTTTAGTAAATGATAATGTAGTGAGAAACTGCAGAGCCTGTGTAAAAAAAAATAAATTTCAAGCCCTTCCCTCTTCACTGCATGCTGATCCCACTTAATGGGATAAGTGTTGTTGTTGTTGTTTTAAATCCTCACTACATCTGCCTGTGAATACAGTCATTGAACTTATATAGTCTAGGTATATCCATTTTAATGTCATGTAGAAATATAAATAGTTTATAATTGCAATTTTCCACTCTCTTAGCAAGTGCTTACCCTTTCTCTTTTCCTTTTCAGGCAGCATTACCATATCTTATCTATTCAATCTTTTACTTTCTCAACAACAACAACAACAAAAGCCTTATTTTATTAAGTAGGATTGGTTACATGGATTACACGATACCATTGTGTTCTATTATCAACCAATTTTTTAGAAATATTGTTAACTAAGAGAATCTTCTACTTTCTCATAGTAATAAAATCTTTTTCTGTTATAAAAAATATTTTGTTATTCATAACTACCATTGTTATCCTTCTCACTTCTGTCCAGGAGGGGATTTGGCTGCTGATGTCATGAATGTATCTGGTCAGCCAGTGAGGGACTCCTCAACACTGGAGAGTCTTCTTAAGAAACCACACATACAATATGGAATTCTTGATAAGCATGGTTTTGGGAACAGCAACTTATCAAGAATGGAGAAAGAATGTGTCGAGATTGATATTAAGTATGAAGGCTTCATCTTGCGTCAGCAAAGCCAGCTTCAACAGGTACGGGATATACATGTCAATTAAAGGAATCTTGAATCCATTTAAATTTTACACATTTTAACATAGAAGAGGTGTATTAAATGTCAAATTACACGACTGTGTTGACATACCTGCAGATGGTCGGTCAACAGCATAGACCACTCCCTGTGGACTTGGATTATTATGCAATGACAACTTTGTCTCTTGAAGCACGTGAAAAACTCTCCAAGGTTTGTAACATGCCTGGTTATCTATATATGGTTTATTATTAGAGTTAAGTTTTCTACACATTCTCACAAATGAAAAAATAAAACAGGTGATGAGATCTCTTAGGAGTCTAATGGAATAAGAAACTGGTCATTATATTACTCATGCCTATGAAAGGAAGAGAAAAATAAATCATTCTTCTCCTTAACGTTGGTTTAAATCTAACAGTTCTTAGTGTCTGTTTGGATCATGGAGAATGAATAATAAGGGGAAGAAAGAAAGTGTTTACCATGTCTAAATCTAAATAAAAATTTCCCCCTTCACTCCTTACATTCTGAGTCATGAACTCAGAGAGAAGCATCTGTTCCAAAGATTGATACTTTCTGCTGCCAATAAGAATCTATTCTCATAGCTGCAATTTTGTTCTTGGGACTGAACCATGAAATATCATTTAAATGATTGTAGGTGAGGCCGCAAACCATTGGTCAAGCAAGCAGAGTTGGTGGGGTGAGCCCAGCAGATATCACTGCTCTACTTATTGTGCTCGAAACCAATAGAAGGAAAACTCGAGAACAAAAGAGATGCCAAATGTTAAATGCCATTAGAAGAGATACCCAAGAAGTGGTGCCTGAAGTAGTTCCTTTCACCGAAACGGTCAGCCCCGGATAAGTCTATTTCTACTTGTAAGCCGTGCTAAAGCATGCATCTTGGTGGCTCGAAGATCTACTTTAGGCAACCATGTTCATGGAGACAGTGTGTAGGACTTGGTTGAGCCAATTGATTAGTGTTAAACCGGACAACTTAAATTTTTGAAACACAAACCCCACCCCAAAAAAAAAAAGAAAAAAGAAAAAAAGAAAATGTTTATACTTCATAGTGGAAATAGAATATGTATGGCTTGTATAATCAATGGATAGTTGTCAGAATGACTTTGCTGGAAGTTGTGTCACGGAATGTTGATAAACAATTTACAAAGCCCCCCAGGGGTCACTAAACCGGGAAGACGCCTATTTTTGGTCCTATTTACCTTGACCAGCTGATCAAGTTAGTCTTCTATTATTTCATAGTCTGAAAATATCAAACTAGTCTTGAACCCAACCTAGTTATATCATATACTTATTTATTTTTTAGTTTCTAGAAAACTTGGGGAAAAAGACTGAAAAAGTTGCCTACTACACTAATTCATCAAATCTGAAGTTCAGAGGAACCTCTCAGTAGATTCTAAAATACAGAAACAGAAAACAAATTAGCATAATGAAGAAGACGTGAAAGAACAACAAAATGTAACACTAATCATTATCAAATTTTATATAAGCTTTTTCATGTTTTGATGTTCTCTCTTTATACTATGTCAATATGTCATGTTAGAATTGAGTTTGAAGAGGAAACCACAGAATTAAAGTTTATAAGAAAAGGAAAAAAACAACACGCACACACACCCATTGTACGTAATCAACTATAATAATCACTTTCTAAATGGATTGATCATCGTCCAAAACAAAAAAGGATTGATCAAATAAAATAGGAAACTTTGTAGAATAGAAAATAATATTAAATATAAAATTTCAAATACTAAATCATATTTAATTACATTTAACATATGTGTTACGTCAAATATGGGTCGTCTCCATTTGAATTAATAGCAAACTCAAACCCCAACTTCCACATCCATAAATGGAGCCCGCTTCGTTCTCTCTTTCACACTTTGTGAGCGAATTTCATTTAACATTCCTTCTTGTGGGTAAACAAACTTTTGAACAATATACAATCTGGAAGATCCACACCTCTAATGGAACGTGAGCCATGTTGATGATTACAATGGACAATGATAAAGACGAATCCATGATCTGTGCTTCACGTTTTTGATATTGTTCTTCATCTCCTACTCATCCAATCAATGCCTGCACCGGAATTCAGCAATGGCCGTGCGTACATATGGATCACCGCTTGTATCTTGTTCACCTGCATCGTCGCCGGCGGCGCCTGCCTCGTCGCTTACGTGTTGCTTCCTGAAGACCAAGTGGAGTCTTGGTTGCCCGTGGCTGGGGTGGTATTGGTTTGCCTTCCGTGGGCGTTTTGGCTCTTAACTTTCATATACCGAATCGTTTCTCGTGCCTTCGGATTTAGGGTTAGGTTTGGGGGTGGAGGTGGAGACGGAGGACGAAGAGCTGGAAATGAGAAGAATTACTCTGGAAATGATGATATTGAGGGTGCAGGTGGTCTCGCAAATGGCAAGGGAGATGTTCAATTCGGAGAAGCCGGAGGAGCGGCGGCGCGTGGTGGACTGCAGAGGACGTCGTCGTCTGTTTCAAACGAGAGCGAAATGCCATTAGCGAAGTCGTTGAATTCGTGATCGAATTGGGAAAAAATTTTGTCGTGTCGTATTTGTGGCTCTTGCCCTCCATGCAAGAAATTAAACTGATCAGCTCGCCGATTTCTTTTCACAAATTTTGATGATCTTCTGTTTTGGCTTTGGCCTGTGACTGATCTGAGGAACATATAATTATACTTCAGCATCTTGACGATGACTCTACCTCATTTATCAGATTAAACGAGGGATATAAATACAAAATACAGCAACATGAGAAGATTCACGGAAACTTTTTGTTTTTATTTTTTTTTTGTTTTAAAAACAGGTTTTTAATTAGGAGATTAACATCTTGCTCAGGATCTTATAGAGGATGTGAATTTAATTATTTAATTAATTATCATAGGCTTAAAATTTCTTAGTTATTGATTTGATACATTTATGAATATGATATCATATCATTGATTGATTATTATTTCAGTTCACTTCTTCAGGAATTATTTGCTTGTCATTTTGCATTTGATCTCCTTGTTCTTTCTTATTTGATGAGCATGGACATCCATTGTAAGGTACATGAATGAAAGTAGTCTTTTGTCAAAAAAAGATTAACAAATGACTGTTTTTTTTTTTTGTAATGAAAAACTGTAACTACTAATCAAAATGATTATAAGCTGTAATTAGTTGAAGACTTCCTTTTATCATTCATCACCTTTTTATAATAAGATGGAGGTTGATCAAATGTTTGGTAATTACTTACTCTATCCCAAGCATTAACAGCCAAAAAAAGGGTACAATAATTTGCTTCCTTGTAAACAAAGTTAACAAAAAACCATCAAATCCCTACTCAAAAGCATCCTGGCGTCGTTAATAACATCCCTGAAAGGGTGTTGTAGGAACTCATATCTAGTAAGTAGTAATCGGATTCAAAGTTTCCACACAATCTGTGTAAACTTGCACCTTGTGGTACTTCCTTTCCCAACACAACTACACACCATCGATAATACCAATTAATTTAGTAATAGTTGGGGGATAGTAGCCTATGTTTGCATTGAAGCCAGCAATCCACAAAAGCAGAGCAATCTCTTATCACACCACCACATTTTTCAATTCCATCTTTGATAGAGCCATCAATATTCAATCTAACATCAACCTCAAGTCTTACCCATTTATGGGAACAGATTCTAGCATTCTTTGCTATCAATTGAGATATGTAAAATATTCATAACCATTCTAGCTAGCCTTATGTTACAGCAACACCAGACTCAAGGCTCTCTTCCTCCTCACAAGAGAAACCTTACTTGTCTAGTAAACTTTTTACCTACCTCTCGCAAATTTCACTTTATCCTGTCTTCATTGTTTAAACTTTGGAATATATGCAACATCTGTGTCTTAATCAAGCTAAACCACATTTCTCAAGCATGAGGACAATCTCTGAGTAGGTGCATAGCATCTTCTATCATTCCGCATCCAAGTAGACATAAGTTTGAAGACAACAATCCTCTTATGGCTTGCAGATATGTGGTGTGTAATCTATTCTTAGCAAGAGCCATGAAAGGATCTTGATCTTCTCCGAGCCTGTCCATCCCCAAATATTGCTCCAAAATAAATCATCTGAGGAATGAGTACCTGCAAGAAAAGATAGGCAGTATCAGATACTAAAATTTTCATCGTCAGAAGCTCCCCAAGTGTATATCTCCTCTCCTCTCTCAGCTCTTGGTATGGGTGTGCAAGCAATTTTATGAGCAACGTGACTAGGCAAGCAGTTTGAAAGTGTTCCTGTCCCCCACAAAGGTAACATAATCAGCAACCAAATCACTAGCATCATATGAGGTATAGTTGCCACGTGTGAAAGAGGTCTATAACAAAAGGACCATCATCTGTCAGTCCAAAATGTTGTGGACATACCATCTCCCACCCTTCTACCAATACATACAAGAAAGTGCCCCAACAAGTGACAATATTACGCCAAGTTAGAGAGACCTCTGCTCTCCGTTCGATTTTGGGAATAATGCCACTGCTTGTATTTGGACTTCAACACTTGGACCCGCAATGAAATCCATTATCAAGCATCTTCCAACGCAGTTTGAAATTGAAAGTTTTATTTTGCTTAGAAAGATCTTGGAAAAATGACAAGGAAGTATCCCATAAGAAAATTAATGTCAAATTAAGATTCTTCATAACTAAAATTTTCAAATTCAATATTTCTTCTCTCATATTTTAGTATTAAAATTTTTTATTTAATATTAATTTTTTTTAGGTCCTTATTTATTATTCTCCTAGAGATCTTTAACTTCTAAAGTTACACTTTTATTGTCCACAAGAATCTCCTTTCAAGACAATAAATGCTTTTTTTTTTTTGCCATCAACCAAACCCCACGGGAAGCTTCTACATAATTTTTCCACCTCATCAAGCAGTTTTTGAGGTAGAAACATGGTCTGCACGTAATAATTGGAAATTGTTGTAATCACCGATTTTAGTAACATAAAGGACCGTTGGCTTTTGTTTTTGCTTTCTGTTATTGATTTTTTTTTTATTTTATTTCATAATGGAGACTCAAGCTGTTAAAAAGCCTAGCCCCCATGTCATCATGTATGGGAGCCAAAGGTTGGGGACATACATGTGTGTGTTTATAATTTTGTTACTTTGCGATTCTTCTCAATTACTCCCCTGTTATTCTATTTAAAAAAAAATAAACGGATGGTGTTTTTGATAAATCAATTCATATAAATAAATAAAATTTTAATTATTTTCTTTTTATTATATATTTTCACAATTTTCTATATATATAAAGACAAGGGGCATAAAAAGGAAATGATTTTAGAAATGATATATTATATAAAGATAATTGAAAAATTCTTATTCTCTAGACAATACTGCATTGATCAAGAGTGCTGTATCATCTACCTTATATCTAATATTTGATCAAATAAAATAAATTTAGTGTAAGACTATGACGCTTTTTTCTTGGCAATAACACTATGATGCTCTTTTTTTTTTTTTAAATGGTAATCAAGACTATGATACTTTTTATCAAGATTCAAGCCTTTGGCAACATTTCCCCGCTCTCAACTTTTTTCACCTATTTCAATAAAATCTAAAAATAAAATTCGAGTACTTGTGTTTCGTACAAAAAAAAAAATTCTGGTCGCACATGTAAGTTTGTAATAAAATAAATATTTTTAAAATTTAAAGTTAAATTGGTTGCAAAATTTTTAAATTAATATTTTCTTTTCAAGTTTTTACAAGGAAAAAATTTCAATCCAGTTACGCAAATGTACAGATGCGCGCGCAGAGTTCATGAGATCTTGAAATGACTAAACGAGGCCTGGAGATGAGGGTTCCTACGAGACAAAAACCCAAGCGGCCAAGGACAATTTTGGACTTTCAGAGCTTCCTGCCGGCGACTCGCACAGCAAATTAGCCATCGTCGCTGCTCTATTTTCTGCAATCACGTACAGTAGTGTGAGATTCTCATTTTTCAATGTCCGTCTCATATTCAAATATTGCATTGAAAGCGGGAAGCCCAGGAGTTAGCTCCGTTGCATTGTAGTACGTGCCTAGTGAAATAGCCCATTGATTCTCCATTTTCATCCTCATACTCCATTTTCATCGCTTCGAACTTGGCTGGCAAAAGTGGCAAGAAACCATTAAGCCTCAACGATAGCCATTATCGATTCCTCCATGACCCTTGTGCTCCTCTGAAGCCCTCCTCGAAGCCATCTGGTACCTTTTTAAAAAAAAAAAAAAATCTCTCTCGTATTCTGCTATTTCTCAAAGGGAGAACTATAGTTGGCTTGATTTGTTATTATTTTTTCCTTTGCTTGTTCTTTTCGCAGACGACGAAGATGAGTCGTCGCCGATAATAGCCAAAGGCAGAAGGCGGCAGCAGGGCAAAGCTTTACATAGGGATGACAAAAACGAGGAAGATGATAGCATCCCCCGATTTTCTGGGATCACCGACTTCGATTCTGTTATCGGTATTCATCCATAATTGTATTCTTTCTTTATGTAAGACGACTGTCGTTTATTTGAACCACGCTCGGCGGAAGACGAAAAGCCGATCAAGGCAGAAGGTAGACGCCTTCTCTGTACCGTCTCGCCAAAGGAAAATAGTAAAGATAAAGGTGATAATGTTCCCCCGTCTAAAAATACGACCGGCTTTGACACCCACAGTAAGCACGCTTTGTTTCTACTTTTCACTTGCCTCCATAGTATTCATGTATATCGTAAGGAACTGAAATCAGGCATTCAACATGTGGAAGATGATTCGGACGATTCTGTGGAATTTCGGGATCATTTTGATTCTGAGGATGTTAATTCTATAACTTTGAATGGGCCACATCCCACATACAAGTTGCCAGGCAAAATTGCAAAAATGTTGTACCCACATCAACGTGATGGTTTGAAGTGGCTTTGGTCTCTGCGTTGTCAGGGTAAAGGTGGAATCCTGGTGGATGACATGGGTCTGGGGAAAACAATGCAAGTAAGTGACGAACACTTGGCAATTGCTTTGCAACATCTGTTGTACATAGATTATGAATATTGGGTTCCTCCTGCAGATTTGTAGTTTTTTAGCTGGTTTATTCAATTCACGCTTGATCAAAAGGGCATTGGTTGTGTCCCCAAAAACCTTACTTCCCCATTGGATCAAAGAACTATCTGCTGTCGGTCTTTCTGAGAAGACGAGAGGGTGCGTCTGCCTCACTTTATTTATTTGAATTTATATATTCGCACAAACACAGTTATGTTTCTAGCAGTGCAAATTCACCAACTTGCATTTGCTGTAGTCAGGTATTGGTTATAGCTTATTTGACATGTTCAACTTAAGTTATAATAAACAGCAAATTAAATATATGCTCCTGAATTGTAAGTTTTAATGAACATGGAAGGAAAGGAAACGTGTTACATGTCGACTTGAAGTTGAAGATGCGCTTCATATTTGGCAATTGAGGATGTCTGTAGTTGCAATGCATTTTCCTTTTTAAAAGAGCGAGCACCGTGAAAATCAGAGAGCGACCAGCAACACCATGAGCGAGAGAGAACA